AAATGATGAATTGTTGAAGGATTTTGAAAACGGAAAAAATGATAGTCATGCCGGCCCAGCATCCTCAATGTTGAAAATTGCCCCGGCACGAAGTGGTTAATAGTCACCCTATCATTCACAACGGGTACCAACTGTATACTGGCCATGAGTTATTGTATACAGATGGTATAGGATCAACTGGGCAACCTGGGACAGTTGGGGGCTTAACGCGATCAGCGTTCCCCAGTCTTCCCAAAGACCGACTGTGATCATTCAGTAGTTTGATCAAGTTTGATACTCGTGATTATGGTGCTCACAGTCCACTCCAACTGGCACAAGTTCTGGTTCGGAACCAGGGTTAACCAACCACCACCCACAGGCAACTGAGCTGTATTGTGTGCGATCTGATTGCTCAGATGCCCTCGTGGTTCTATCGGAACAACACGGTCTGTTGTTACGGTCTGCTGTGGTGGTCTGCTCTCCACCTACAAGCCACACCCATCTGACCGCTCAGGTTCTGTTGGGTTCTGGGCCAGCCACCTGCCACTCTCAGGGGACTAAACTGTAGTGGGTGCGGTGCAAACGCTCAGCTCCCCTTGAGCAAGCTTCACGTTGAATAGGTCTACAGCAGCGGTCTTCACTTCAGCCTACCGAGCAGTACATGCATCTACCAGTATGGCCCACAAAGGCTTAAACAGGGATAGCCCTAAGCCTCCCGCACTGGCTACACTGACCGCCCTGTGCCCTGAGGCACTATTTTTAGACACTTTTTCATTGGGTTCACTCAGCCCTGACTCTGACACTTCACCTTGCCAGGCCACTCCCCCATTGTCAGCCTCAGCCCTACACCTGTGCCCCTGGCAACTGCTCCAGACCCTGACCCACTACCTGTGGAACCTTGTCCACATCTCCTGGTTGCATTCCAGCCCACTCAGGATAACTACATTCCTCCCTCCAGTCCAGATACCGGACACTCTTCACACCTGTTCTGGGTCCTGCTTGTTATACAGGCTTGGATGTCCTTCGAGTACACCATGAACCAACCACAAGCCAAACACAACACATCTTGCAAAGAATTTCCCTCCGCTGCTAGTCTTACACCCTCAGAGGCTCAACTATGTCTTCTTCAGAGGGACATGACCCAGATACTGTGCCTGCCCTCTACGTCATCTATGACTGAGGCCTCCTTGCACGCCTCCTTCAGAAAAAAGTCATTCGCTGAGTCCCCATATCACTCGGGAACAAGGGCTTCATCTCGACCTTCTTTCTCCCACCGAAGAAAAACCTAGGCAAATGGAGACCCCTAATCAACCTCAAGCCTTTGAACAAGTTTGTCTGTCCAAGGAAATTTCACATGGAAATCCTCTGGACATTAATCCAGTCTCTTCCAATCCCATGTTGGGCATCCCGATCCACCTTCAAGACAAGAAGTTCTTTCATTTTCTATACAACAGGAACCTGTTTGAGTTTACAGCTCTTCTTTTTGGCCTCTCCACCTCTCCAAGGGTGTTCACCAGAGAGGTGAAAATCGTAGCAACTTATCTTCAAAAGCATGATGTCGCGTGCTGTTCCAATACCTTGACAACTGACTTATCGTCAGCAGAACATACACTGAAACAGCGGCTTCTACTCGCCAAACATGCGACCTCACGAGTCACCTCAGGCTCATCATCAACCACAAGAAGTCAAAGCCCGCCCCAACATAGTACCCAACATACCTTGGCGTGGTTTTTGATTACTGCCAAGGGATATATTTTGCTGAAAACCAAACACACCAACAACCTTCTGGAATGCATCAGGATCTTTTCCTCCGAGCGGTTGGCCCCCTCTCGGGCTTGGCTCTGCCTTCTCGGATTGATGGCCAGCATGGTGGATCTCATCCCCCTCTGTTGACTATAGATCCGTCCCCTGCTGCTCCACCTCCTAACATTCTTCAGACTCCATCAAGTGGGACTCCATCAACCTTCCCGTTCCTGTAACGAACTTCATCTGCCCGCACCTCCAGTGGTGGCATGGTGAAAGATCATCTCTCCCCTGGGGTTCCCTTCCCAAAGGCAACTCCAGAGATAGCGATAACCCTGGACACATCCCTCCTGGGGTAGTGAGCCTCCTTGCTGCCACTTCAAACATTGGGAACCCCAATTTCAAGGGAGTCATATCAATGTCCTAGAACTCCAAGCAGCATTCGGTGTGCTGAAGTTCTTTTGATCGAACCGCATCCTTATAGACTCGTTCAACTCACTCTTGCCTCCTGACTAGACAAATGTTCATTTGGGTGCTAAACCATGGAATCAAACTCCAGGTGACCCACATCCTGGGAGTCAATAATTCCATCACAGATGCTCTCTCTCAGTTTAACCGAAAGAGTAGACACTACACACCAGTGCGGTGGAACATATCTTTGCCGAAGTTGAAAAGCTGAACATCAAGCTTGTTGCCTCAGTAGAGAATGCCCAGCTGCTAGTGTTCTACACCAGATTTTATCACCCTCTGGCCTGGGCAACAACGATCGAACAGGAGCGCTGTGGGGTACTTCTCATTGCTCCATTCTGACCTTTACAGTTTGGTTTCCCTGCCGAAACCTGCCTGCCACACCAGATCTCCTTCACCAAGTGAAGTCGGACATACTTAATCTTCATCCAGTGTCCTTACACCTGCCCTTCTGGACTTTTTTCAGGACTTTCCGAGGCAATTGCCTAGATGGCCGCAAGAAGCCAATGCCAATCAATATGAAGCGTGTACATGTACAATAGCAGAATACGACATTTTACTTTATGGTGTACCGAGCGAGGTCTTGCCCCAACTAAAGCTCCTTTGACTGTCATTGCCAATTTTTTCATGTTTCTATTCAAATCAAGCCTGCACAAGTAGCAACCATCGGGAGCTACCAGTCCACCATCGCAGCCATACATGAGAGCTTCCTCGATAGTTCGTCTGTGTCCAATAATCACACACTCAATCATCTCCTCCAGGGAATGTTTATACAGTGTCCCCTACCTAGAGACTGCTTCCCTCCTGGGACTTTTCAGCCATCCTCCATCTCCTCACTGGTTCTCCTTTTAGAGCCCCTCACTCCATAAAAGCTAGCCTTCCCACTAGCGGTTACTACCTCATGCCGAGGCAGCGAGCTGAAAGCACTTTCCATTACTGAAGGCCACATTAGGTGGGAACGCCATGGCACCCGCCTCATCCCAGCTCTAGGTTTCCTCACCAAGAACCGGTCGGCCGCTTTTCATCTTCCTGACATTTTTTTCCCAGAAATAACCAAACACACCAGGACTCCAGACAACAAACCATGATGCCCAGTGAGAACTCTTAAATAGTACCTTGCAAAAACCAAGAAACTGAGAGGTAAGACATCACAACTGTTCATTGTGGCAATAAAGCCACATCATGCTGAGACACAATAGCTAAATGGGCTGTCTTGGCCATCAAGTTTGCCAACTCGGAGTGGCCAAACATTTCAGACAATAAGACTCGACACGTCATCAGGGCCCATGACATCCGTGTTGTTTCTACCTCATGGGCCTATTTCTGGGATGTCCCAATGGAAGAGATGTGTAAAGCAGCAAGCTGGAAGTCCCCATTGATGTTCACCTCATGCTACCTCACTGATGTCCTACAAAGAGACTGCTTACATGGCAAGGTGGTCCTGGCGTCAGTCACACCAATGCAGAGGGGTTCCTCATTGGGATGGGCTGACACTTGAACTACATGTACCTAACAGCTCCACTGCCTGGTGAATGCATTATAGCTATTCATCCTATGATTATATACATGTATTTAACTCTAACCACACACTTCTCTCTCTCATGTAGTGCATCCTTGTCTTAACCTTCCTCTGGGAAGTGGAGCTTCTCTGCATATTTAGTGACTTTTTGGGATAGGATGGCAGCAGAAGACTCCTTCCCCACAGAAAAATGCGCGAGGTCCGCTATCAAAACCTGCACAAACAGGCGGATCCTTCTCATGCTCCCCACTATTTGCTCTGTACTCCGCTGTGCATCATGGGTCTAGAAGGCGCACTACGGTTGATCAAAATTTTAGAGAACAGAATCAGGCACAAAGGAAATTTGCATATTCAGTGCTGTTTGGTGTTGTATACAATATCACACCTTGCCCACATTTCTGTGGGGAGGAGTGTCATGTACATGTACTGGTACAGCATATGTAGGCTTGGACATGTGAAGATATACTCCACATGTGGAATTTGTGTTTGCATGGTCCTTGTGTCAAGAAGGCTGGGGCTTATTTTTGTGTGTTTGAATGTGTCTGACTTTAATATTAAAAGCCAATAAATCCTCTCCAAAACAAAGAAAAAAGGCAGCACACATTTAATCAAGCATGGAAGAAAATATACATGCTGAAGATTACTCAGAATGACAGTGTATCGACAGGCAGCAGGGCACCAGGAAAGGTTTGAGGGCAAGGTTTTGTCCAAAGGAAAACAAGAGTTACTTTTTTAGAGTTTCCAGTTTAAACAATGTACTTTAATTTTCTAGTCTTTAATGAATGTCTTGAAAATTTAAAGACTTTCAGCATATGCCTTAAGAACTCGTGAATGACTCAAAACTTAAGATTTCAATTAAGATTTTGAGTGAACAACTTGAATTCAGACTTTGAGTCAATGACTTGACAATTCAGAGAATGAATTTCTCAAAACTTTAGAATGTGAATGAATGACTCGAAAACTTTAGAATTCGAGTGGAAGACTCAAATATTCAGGTTTCTAGTGAATGACTCAAAGGTTCAGACTTTAAGGGAATAACTTGAAAATTAAAACCTGTTTGTGTGTACCACCTGCCAAAAAGTGTCTGAGTAAGGACTTTTTTCAACAACGTTTATTCCCCAGAATGTGTAAACATGTAATTGCAATGTTGAGTATCTGGTTATTTTCAAATAACTTTCAAGCATCTTTCCTTTATGATTTAATTGTAATGCAAACACTGTAAATTTGGCTGCCTGAAGGTAATTTTTCACCATTATCCTCACAGGTAAATTCCAGTCAGATGTAATGTACTTGTATTTTTATAAAACTTCAACGTAGGAAGAAGAAAGAGACAGGACAAAATTTGTAGTCCATTGGGCAGGAGTTGACTTGACGCTCAGGTTCCCCTTCCTTGAATGGAGCGCTGAATAAATTTCATTCCTAGTTGAAAACTGGTTTTAAATCTTTGATTTTTGGTCAGCTTGAGAATACGACACTTCGTTTCTCATTTGCTGCTTGCAACTGGGCTTTTAGTGTTAAGTATAATATAACCGCCTCTTTTGTTGCATTCTGTTTCTTTTTTTTACAGAGTCCAATTCCAGTTTTAATTCAGTACATAGCTCATCAATATGCCAAATCTTATTACTGCTTTATCAATTTTAATGGCATAAAGGGAGGAGTCCTAGTTCCCATTCTTGATTAATTTAGGAGAAAAAAGTTTGTACAATATTTTAGGAAACCAATGAAATTTGTGGGAGAAATACTTTTAATAGTACAATTCTATCAAAGTCTGAATTTTCTTGTAATTCACTCAAAGCCCAACTTGGAAGTCTGAATTTTGAGTCATTCACTCCAAGTCAGAATTTTCAAGTTATTCACTCAAACTTTGAATTTTCAAGTGAGTAACTCAAACTCTGAGTCTGCCATTGGAAGTCTGAAGTAATCATGTTAGCAGTACTAATTTTGTTTGTGCTCTATTTTTTGCCCAGTGATGTCGCCAACAGAATGCCTAAATCATCCAAAATTTGTACTTCATTAAAAACTTCATGACACTGTAAAGATAAATGCATGAACATATATGGCTGAGAAAACTGGCATTATACCAACTAGCAGTACTAGCTGAAACAGAGAGGGCTTGCGGACCATGTGAATAGGCCACTGGTTGTGTGCTCTGGTTGTCCTCAGGAGTGGAGGACAACCAAATTTATTGACATTTCACTTTTATTCCAAAAATAGGCAATTCCAAATGTTTCAAAGCAATATCGAAATATGGCGATAAAATTGTGTTCCACCCCTCGTCTTGGTAAGTTTGAATTTTGAAGTCATTCATTCATAGCCTGAATTAGTCTGCATGCATTTTCGTCATTCATTCAAAGTCTGAAGTTTGAGGCATTCACTGAAATTGTGAATTTTTTAGGCATTCTTTCACTAGAAGTCTACATTTTCAAGGCATTCATTTAAAACTAAACTACAAACTGAAAACTGGAAATTAGAAAAAAACAGTAAATACTTGTAGGCTTCTTCAAAGACCTTATGCTTTCTCAAGTTGCACTGTCATTCAGTAATGAGAGTTTCTCGTTAATTTACAGCATCATTGTTTTGAGATATTATTTGTTCATTGTCATTTGTGAGAATGAAACCAAGATGTATGACTAAGAGGTTTTTGAAGTTTTCTAACTGTAACTACACCTTGTTTCCGACTGTATAAACCCTGCCTCATGAATAGTTCATCAGACTTATTGTAGAAAAGAATAGACGGGTACAAGAGAGGTGTAGCAGTCATAGGTATTCCTCAGCAAGTACTCCAGTTCACCGACGAATCTGTTGCAACCTTCTAAGTTATTGTTGTTGAATGAAGTCGAGATAAACCACACTTTGCAGCCGATTTTACTTTTTTCTGTATTGCTCGAACAGCGCTTCGCTTTGATACCGTTGTCAATGCTGGCCTCCCAAAATCCAGCAGATCCAAATTGGCACAGTTTATGCAGCTGTTCAGCCAACTCCTCCATATTAAGCAAGAGGTCATAAGTCGAAGTACCACCCCAGTAACCTTCAGATTTTTTTGCAAGCGTTCGTACAAAAATTAAGCATATAGTGTTATGAATATACATTGCTGTCAGGGAAAATCCACCTTTATTAAAATTGAGGAGCACAGAAATGGTTTGTACAAAAAAAACCAGTGGTTTGATCTGTGTGGAAACAGAAAATAAAAGCACAGATTGAGATATCAGGTTTGTAATTTGATTGACAGAAATCTTCATTTAAATATTTGATCAATCTACTCAATCATGTCCTAAAACTGTCAAGTGACATTTGCAGGCCTTCCAGACTTCTTTAAGATTCTGACATATTATGTCATCATGTATCCAGAGCTTTAGACTGGCTCCTGACCCTGTCATCATCATTTCAGACCTTTTTGGCAGCAGGAACCAATGTAAACAGCACTGCATGCTGCATTTCATTTAGCTGCTTGATTGTAGCCAGCAACATGGAAAAGGATGGACACGATGTGCAGTACTTTTCAATTGAAATGTAGAATAGAAACAAATTAAGTTTGGTCTTGCCATTGCTCTTACATTTATTCGGCTTTTTTTTAGCGTGTGAGGCAGCAATGTTAGCCAAAATGTTTGATGCAGTCACTGAAATACTGAGAAGGGCTGCCTCATTTATGGATGGGCAGGGGATTTGGGGTGCATAAATTCCATACAGCTACTCTACCGGACAAGTTTGTCAATGCCATCATGTATCTATGCACTGAAGAAGATGTGTACTGGGTAACAATTTTTTTTGTATTACACCAAAAAATTTGTAAACATTCAAAGCACCAATATACCAATGACCTGTTCTGGTTCCTGCATTTCTCCAGTAACTGGTTGTATTAAAGCCGTCAGTGAAAAATAATGGACATCTTTGGTGAAGCTTAGTGCACTAATAAAATCTTTTTTCTTTGCGATGACATACCAGTACTTTTTTCAATAAGGAAATCTGTGACTTAGTATTGTATCTCATTTTACATTTATAAAGTGAGCACCTTTTGGGGTGACAGACAATCCTGTGCTTTCATTGGGTATATTTTGCAGAACATAATTACTGCTATTTCTTGTTTTTTGATTCCAGGTATTTATGTCTGCACTTAGTCTAGTGAGGTCACTTTATGAAGACTGGATTCCAAAGCACAAACTTAACAAAGCAGACACCAGCCATTCACTAGAAGTTGTTGTGCCAGAGCTGATGACAAGAATAGGAGATACGGTAATGAACATTATTTGTTGCTGTTTGTAGCCATATTGACTGCTTGATTGCTGAAGGTTTCCTCAATTCAAACGGCTTGGCTAGGCTTGAGCTTGGGCTCGTGGTTTTGGTTTGTTTTGTAATTCATCTGCAAGATCTTTGGCAGACAAATATACAGGAACCATTTGCCCTCTAAAATTGGGGTGATAAACTTGCCAATGTGTTCTTGAACATAACCTTAAATAAAACATGATTGAGATACGGTCATTCCACAACTTTAGTTAGGATGCAAGGTAAGTTTGTTTAGAATAAAACATGGGAGATGTATACATCATTAGACTTAATGTATTATATGAAATTGTGGCAGAAACTGCAACCTGTTTGGTGCAACTTTCTCTGTACACACATGCATTTTACACTCTTATTCTATTCTCTTTACTTATTTTGGCTATTAATTACGTTAACCCAGATATTCAAGATGGGTTGTTTTACTTTCAACAACTTATACAGTGACAGCACGAGTTACACTAAACAGAAGTTTCAAACATCACTGTATCTAAGTTACATTAGCACTTTTGTGTTAAAAGCATTATACTTTGTTGGACCCACAACAATCTAAAAGATAGCTCTCAATCTACGTCATTTCATTTGACAGCTGCAATAAATACAAGAGATTCAAATGATAAACTTAATTTTGCAAAATAAATAAATATAAATAAATAAATTAAAAATAAATGCAAAAATCTTCCCAAAAGAGGGCACTCTTTGCAGAAAAAAGAGTGTGCTATTTCCTTTGTCAAAATGCAGTTGTTGCACAAACTTGGATGTGTGCATGTATATACATGTAGCTTCTCTTGAACAGCTGCTTGTTTTGCAATGGCCTCGTAAAATAGACGTTCCAATTTCTGACCTCAATGTTGGCAGGCATGCAAATAGTCCAACATTCGTCAAGCAGGACTGAGGGTGTCAACAAATTTGCTTTAACCACATGCTGCCGGGTGCTTATAAAAATGCAGTGCACACATACTGGCGAGTTTCAAGTTTTCAGTTTTCAAAATTCTTCTAAAATTCACCATTTCATTTAACGAATGTTTACACCCACACAAATGACTCTTTGATGGCTACTCTAAGCTGACAGGTACCTACATTGACTTCTGAAAATTTCAGCGAGGCCTGCAGCCTTGTTATGTAAGTTTCTTTTGTTCCTGAAACCGGCACAGTGCACTGCTGGTGTCTTTTGAATAGGGGCCAGATTAGCGTGCAGCGGTATTGTATCGCGCATCGCTGGAGAGCTTTTTTCCCCAGTGGTAATCCGATTTCCTCCGATATTGACAACTGAAAAAATGTTGGCAATTCGCAGCAGCTCAGTCTTTTGTGCTGAGCACGGTCCTTTGTTACAATGCCCAGCTCTTTTGTCCCGGTTTCGGGCTCCTTGGCTTCATGTATAAAGCCTACCGGTAGGTGCTCGAAAACAGGTCCCCGTGCAGTAAGTGGTTAATTAAAACTTGAATATGTACATGGGGTTGCCAGTTTTTCTTGATTTTTTTTTCAGACTTGGAAATAACACTCCCAAACTATTGAGACGTACAGCAAAAACTTAAAAGCAATTTTGTTCTATTTTTAATTTTTTGAATTATAATTATGACAAAAACTCCCAAAAGCTCCCTTTTCTTTTACTCTTTATACCCCAGTGTTTTTTTTCACTCTGATTACAAAAAAAAGAGTTGCATTAGATCCAAACCCATTCCAGTCACAACTAACTGAGAATCAGGGATGGGGTTTACATTGAATAGTTGACATGGACTTGTAATTTCTCGGAAGAATTTCTTTTTCATTCTGTTTCTTTGTATTTTAAAAATTATGGTTTGTAGAATGCTCGACTGAAAGCAGCAGACATTGACTTCATACGTGAACTGGCATCGTACAAGGAAGTCCGTCCTTTACACAGTGTGCCTCACCATTTTGTTGCTCCATTCAAAGGAACAACTCAAGCAAAGATAGCAGTAACAAGGGTGGAAATTGTGGAGAAACTTTTAAAAGACTTGGGCATTGAAAAAAACAGGTATGTAAGAAGCATTCTGAGCACTTAAAAGTAAAGAGTAGTCAAGGTTTTTTGTTACAGCATTGGAACATCATTTTATTTGAATATACGGTACTTTTATTCTTTCGGTCTTTTTAATCACTTGCTGCTGGGTGCTTTGAAAAAATGCATTCCACACATACGGGTCATTTTCAAGATTGTCAGTTTTCAAAATTCTTCAAAAATTTGTCATTTCACGGACGTTTAAACACAAGGAAGGACTCTTTGGGCACTACTCTAAACTGACAGGTAGCCTTAATTCATTGACGCCTGAGTTTTTCAGCCAGGCCTGCTGCCTTGTAAAAGGAGCCCAAATTGTGTGGTGTTATGTAAGATTCTTTTGTTCCCAAAACCAGAACAGTGCACTGCTGACCTCTTTTCAATTAGGGCCAGATTAGCATGCAGCGGTGCTGTGTGGCTCATCACCCCAGTGGTGGAGCGCTTTTGTCCCCGGTGGTAATTCCCAAACTGTGGTATACTGTTTTAGAACAAGGCTGGATTATCTCCACAATTGAGAGTGAACAAATGTTGGTAATGCTCAGCAGCTCAGTCTTTTGTGCCAAGCATGGTCTTTTGTTACAAGGCCCAGTTCTTTTGTCCCAGTTTCAGGCTCCCCAGCTTCATGTATAAAGCCTATGTACTCAAAACAGGTCGCCCGGCGGGAAGTGGTTAAGAATGTGTCTGAGTGTCTATGGTATCCTTTATGCTTTCTGGAAAAGCCGAGTGTACTAAATATTAAATACTTTGTTACTGTACATCCAAAAAGGTTGCTCAAAATTCTGAGTTGAGTATTCAGAAAATGTTGCAGCCTTCAGAGTATAGGGAAAATTATTACAGAACCATTTTCAGTCATACACATTTAAAGACATGAAAAATAAAATATAACTCATATGAATATAACGGCTAGAAATCATTGGAAAATTTGTAGTCTGATTTAGTTTTTACACTCATCAAATGAAACAATAGAAGAAGAAAGTTTATTTAGATTAATTCTTAAAGTCACTAAAGACAGGGCTAACACCGGTAACATCGGTAACACCATGTGGATAGATCTCTTTTGGAAGAGGTATGGTTCTGATAAGAACCGTTGAGTGTAAACTTGACGTTTTGACCATTGTGCTCTGGTCCTCCACTCCTGAGGATGACCAGAGCACACTGGTCGAAATGTGGAGTTCGCACTCAATAGTTCCTATCAGAACCATACCTCATCTATAACAGATTTATCCATATGATGTTACTGCAAGCCCTCTCTTTAGTCTATCTCCACTATGCAAACATTCAAGTCTCTTCTTTCTTGATTTAAGTTGGTTCAACTCTACTGGCTCATGTATTTGAAAATATATAAGAAATCCATCCCAGATTCCCAACTGATTCCAAAGTGGGTTAGCGTGTTGGAAGGTATGATAGTACTAAAAGGGCATTTTTTTTCATCTTATGTCCAACTTACCCTGGCTCCTACATGTAGCGGATCCCCAAAAAATATTTTGCCAACTCTATCCAACATAACCAAGGAAAACAAAATTGAAAGATATGAGAAACCCATTTTCGTGTTGAAGAAAATATACTTAGCAATGTCTTTTTTACACACCAATTGGGCATCTACTTTTTCCATAACAGTAATGTGTACCCATGCAGTGACAGACTGTGGTGAAGTTGAGTAGTAATTTTGCATGCCACATAAGGCCAGAAAAAAATAGAAAGGTATGCTTCTGATTATATGCCTCTCAAAAATAGGTAGGGTTGGTTGGTCGGAAAGTTTTTTATGGGGGTAGTCAATTTTTGTGCTGATTAAATGGGGATTAAAGATACCAACATTGCCACTAGAAGTGATACAAATTTGCCTTCATGTAAAAAGACAGTCGAGAATTCTGAAGTCTTCTGCTTTCAATCTACCCCAAACAGTCGCTAAATATGCAAATTCCTTTGCATCTGATTCAATTCGCTAAAACTTCTGATCAACCGTTGTGTGCCCTCTAGTCCCACGATGCATAGTGGAATGGCCACCATCTTCGTCCTTTTTTTCCCTCGGTGGGATTCTAAGCGGACCTTTTTGACATCTTTGAGTTTATCGAGTTTCCATTTCACTTCCACACCTTAATGATGTTCTGATCAAACCGTAATGTAATGTAATAAATGTACATGTCAATATTTCTAAGTTAATGTGTGTATTTTCTTGTTTTGGTGATGTTTCTCTGTTCTCATGTGTGTGCATTCTATAGAACATTGACCCTACATGTAGGCTAGGTAGTAACCAAGTGATACATAGGGTCAACTTGGTGACAGTGGAATTGTTGGGAGTTGTTTAGCAGGAATTAGCGTGCTCTCCTTGATTCCGCAAAATGTCCATGTCCTGGAACGCAATTTGGGGAAGGCGCCTAAGGCAAAGACCTTTTCGCAGAGAAGTTCATGGAGATGATAGAGTCGGGAGTTAAAAGCAACGACACAACACATAAACTTAGCTTACGTGAACCTCCACCGCTGGCGGTTCCTCGCAAATCCCGTCCTGATGACCTCTGGGCTCTACCCTTTAGACCTCTGCATCAGGGCAATTCTGGTTCCTTTCGCCCCTTTCGTTAACCCAGTTACCAGACAAATTGCGGCTGTCCATCCCTTTTCTGGAGGTACAAAAACCACCCCAGAGGAGCTTCAAGGGAAGAACTACCGAGTCACATTGCTAACTATTCAGACCTTCTGCCGACTGCTGATCCCAGACCCATCGGCGGGTGACTTCAACTCTTCGCAGGGTCTTGGGAGAAAGTCACACTGGACAGCTTGGTGCTCGTGACCATTCGTTATGGATACACCCTCGAATTCACACGAACGCCCTCTGCCTGTACCTATCCTCTGTCCGACTTCAGTTCCTACCGACAGAAGCAAACGACAGACACTGGAGTCCGAGATAGACTCTCTCCTTCAGAAACAACCGGTTCCCAAATCTCAAGTGAACAGGGGCTTCATTTCAACGTTCCCCCTCACTCCAAAGAAGGAACTCAACAGCTGGGAACCTATTGTCAACCTCAAATCTCTGAACTGCTTTACACGCCAAAGGAAATTTCGCATGGAAACCTGGCCTTCGGATGGTCACCCAATCTCTGCAGATTCCATGTTGGGCCTCTTCCACAGACTTGAAAGATGCGTACCCTCACATCCCAATTCACCCATGAAGCTACGAATATCTATGCTTCATTTGCAGATCATTCAATGAAACAGGTTTCTACCCACCTTACCTGCGACATCACAAATTGACTGGGCTTCATTATCAACTGCAAGAAGTTGAATCTCACCCCAATGCAATACCCAACATATCTAGGGGCATCTATTGACCATCAACAGGGTATAATCTTACCTATGACCTAATGCATCGACAACCTTCTCGACTGCGTGAAAGTCTTTCTACCAAGAAGTGGGCTCCGACCTGCGACTGGCTCAATCTCCTGGGCTTGATGGCCGGCATAGTGGATCTCATTCCCCTCTGCAGGTTGCTCATGCTTCCACTACAACTTCATTTTTTAGCTCTCTACAGGCCAAAATGGGACTCAATCAATCTCAAGGTCCCAATCTCGGACTTCATCCGCCCTCATCTCCAGTGGTGGTTCGTGAGAGACACCTCTCTCTCAGAGTTCCCTTCCCCAATGTGAACCTGGAAATAACTATAACCTTGGATGCTTTTCATCTGAGCGGGGGAGCCTCCCAACTGCCGCTTAAAGCATCAGGAACATGGGACCTCCAGCTCTAAGGGAGTCACATCAATATACTGGAAATTGAGGCCGTATTCAATGCACTGAAACTTTCTGCCTGAGCATCATAGGCAAACAAGTCTTCATTCCCTCGGACAAGTCCACAGTAGTGTCATACATCAATTGCCAAGGAGGCACGCATTCTCCCCCCTATGCCTCCTGACCAGTCAGTTATTCCTTTGGGCCCAGGTTTATGGCATCGACCTTCAGATGACCCACATTCCTGGTGTTGACAAATCCATCGCAGATGCTCTCTTTTGGGGAAAGGTACGTCCCACAGAGTGGACTCTGCAGACCGGTATAGTTTAACAGATCTTCACCGAAGTAGAGAAACTGAACATTGATCTTTTTGCCTCAGCTGAGAATGCCCAACTGCCAATGTTATGCACCAGATTTTACCACCCGCAAGCCTGGGAAATGAATGCTCTTCAAATCAGCTGGGAAGGGATGTTGGACTACACTTTCCCTCCATTATTCCTAATACCAGCAGTTCTCTCCAAGGTGGAATGGGAAAGCTGTCGTGTCCTCCTCATCACCCCCTTCTGGCCACACCAGCCATGGTTCCCGCGTCTGACCAGACTTCTCATCTCGGAACAAAAGACCTGCTGCTGGGAATTGCCATCATTTTTCGGCTTGCATTTTTCGAAGGTAATCCATCCGTCAGAGCTGCCAAGTGGTAGGGATTTTCCATAATTGGTATGGAAATTGATTGTGATTACGGAAATCTTCTGGCGATCATGCACAAACCATGCAAAATGGTTCGGTTGATACTTGACTCGGCCCACTCTCAGACCGTATGCAGTGTCCTGCGCTTGCGTGCACGTGCGGCGGTGAAACGTGTCAAGACCGACTCCGCAGCGATCCGGACATTTTGTTTACGCCACACGGTTACATGTACATTGTACATATACATGTACATTGTATGATACGGTAACCAGTGAAACATACGTAGGACTACCTGTGGCGCGCTGGTGCCCGACGACACACACTCGCATAAAAAACGCTGTTTTTACATGGGACAACTCGACATGGGAAACATCAACCAATAACACAACTCGAATGCACGGACAACTCGGCATTGCAAGGCATAGTGCAGTATTGTGTGTGCACATTGGTGTTGGAGTTGGTATGGGTCCGAGCTATTTTTGGTCCAAATTGGTGTGATACCCATTTCTGCAACAATCACGGCATGCGTGTGACGCGCCGTGCATGACAACACCACGCCACCGTACTCGCTCGGATATT